ATTTATATTTCTAATTTCCAATATATATAATAATAATTATAATAATTATAATATAATTATTAATTATAATTATAGTATTTCTGTTTGCGTATTATTAAATCCCATTGATTTCTTTCAATAAATGAACCGCTACTTCTGTGACCTTTGGTTCATTCACATTGGAACTATCAAAATCCATATATCCTTGGATCAGCCTTTGCAACCTCTTATCGAAACTTATCCCTCGGATTCAGTGTTACCGTCAAACTTTCCTCACAAACCTATAAATTATTGCACTTCGGTAGTTGCTTGTCTTGCACTTCGTACAATTGAACACCATATCTGTCTGAACATGAGGGAAACTAACCTTTGGAAGCACTTCAGTTCATCAAGATGTATTTTTTGTGCCATTTCAATTACCTCATTGCAAACAATGCTCTTCCCCATGGGAAACTCAGCCTTTGTTTCCTTATAGCCGAAACTTTGCCCAGGTTCTCTACGAATAACTCAATCAACAAAATCCGTTAAAGGACCATTAAATAATTAAAACAACCAACGGGACCCACGCAATCACAATTGCGATCTTCATTCTAATCCGCCTGTAATTATTTGTTTACACATTAATCTATCTGCCTCGCTGGAGCTTCGTGAACTGACTTTGAAGGGCATCAGTTGGATGACTATCGGTTCAGTGGAACATGGGATTGATTGTAGCATGACTAGAAGAAGACGTTCCTTTTGAATTACCGTAGAAGGTGTTTAACAGGAAGCTCAAAATCTAAATAGTGTGTTCGGATTTTTGCTTAGTGGTAGAACAATTCCACTTCCGTACGGGGTATGAAGTTGCAAGCATTCAGTGTTCAAACACATGTTTCCGAATTGTCATATTGTTTTACTGAAGCCCCAAGCACCCGTTGGGAAATAACCACAAGACTTGGACCAGCTTTGATGAACAATATATATATATGTTTTACTATTACGGAAAACGTTATCTCCTCGTTTTGTTCTCCTACGTCTAAAAACCAAACATTTTAACTCTTCCTTATCCCGAACTTTTCCGCCAGATCGAAAGTGAAGTTTGATCTAGACACGATCAAGATTCCCATTTCGGCGGCAGATGTGGAAAGCAATCCACCAACCGATATCACGATTCACGTCAAACGGTTACTCGGTCAAGGTGCGAACGGATTCTGTCACGAGGTCTGCGTGAACCCGGTTCTGAGCGCGGACATAAAACGTGGCAATTCCGCGACCAGGAAACCGGTATTACCTCGACAATGCACACTGAAAGTGGGTTTCCCTATTGGTGTTATTATTATTATGATTGTTATTATTAGTATTTGCTGGGAGTAGCATCTCTGAGTGGATAGACTGTTGTGTACCGACTGGGGGCAATCCCTAGTCTTTGGTCTGCATCGCGTACCCAACCGTTGCTTGTGGTCCTGTATCATTGGTCACTATTCGAACTGTAGTAATCCAATCCGGGCCAAGTCCACCTAGTGCATTGCGAGTGTGCTTGTGAACTGACACGGATGCGTAGGCGATCTGACGGGTTTTTTTTCGAGCTCCTTCCTAACAGCATGGATCCTAGGGTTGCAGCTATATCTCTATTGAATGGTGAATGAGCTTCTACGGAGCGAGCACACTGGTGCCTTGCGGCCGAACTTGGCTAGGCTAAAGCTGGAGGTGTGCTCTCGAAAAAGAAAACACGCGATTACCGCTGGGGAGTCTTCCAGGAAAATTCATGATCATCATGAAACTGCGGTTATCCCCACCAAGGAACCAGCGGCAGTGAAAAAAAATAATAATGAAAATGGAATGGTATAAGCTGTCGCAAGCAAGATGAGCGACATGAAGCTCGAATCCGATTGGGTATTTCTGATTGGTGTTTTCCAATAATTTAGATATTATTTACTATATACACTGGTATATACATTACATTCATACATAGATAAATATAAAAAGGAATGTTTTTGTTTATACAATAAATGGTAAATTTTAAACTGTATGCAATTCTATTACACTTTAGGTCATCCCATCTAATGTGTATCGCCGTAAACGGGAAGCAATTCACCGTGAAATCAGCGTGCAAAAACGCGTGGCTCATCCAAACCTATTGAAACTATACATGGCCTATCATGATAGTCGTTTGCAAGCGGTCTGTCTGCTTCTTGAGTTCTGTGCCCTGGGCTCATTGCTAGACTTCGTCGGGGCTGGGAATGACATGACACTGTCACAGTCCAACTCCTATTTGGAACCGTCCAATTGTTCCACACCGTTGGAACCCAAACAAACCAATTTGTCGTTCACGATCGATCGATCACGCCTGTACAATCCGGATACCGGTGGATTGACAGACGAAATCGCTCGTCACATATTTCGTGGGATAATGCGTGCGCTTGATCATTTGCACGATCGGCTATTGATTGTACATCGAGATATCAAACCATCGAATATCATGCTCACCGACGGATGGCAGGCCAAATTGAGTGACTTCGGACTGGCATGCACGGTGGATCAATGCACCTATGATAAGAGGTAAGCAACCATTTGCAGGTCATCCAACAATGCACTACTCTTTTTAGATGTGAATTATGCCCCCTGTGCATTCCCGACATTCATTTTCAGTTTGAACAACCATTAACCACGCATATTCGAGCGCCGGTATTTTGTAGCTGTCTTTTGGCTGCCCATTTGGACGAAGAATAGGAGAAGAAAGGAAAGTTGAAAGTGGATTCGAAAAGAAAATGGAGAAGTTCAATGGTCTAAGGTTGCAAAGGAACTGAGGAGATGTACGAAAGCCACTGTTTACGACACCTAGCCATATCACTCAGTGTCTCGAACCATCGGTTACGATCATCCCGAGGTCCCCAGCCAGGGAGCCTAACAGGACCTATGTGACCCAGTTTCCTGGATAGGGTTTTCATACCCTCGGGCCAGGTCTTAACTTGATCACTCTTGGCTTTTTTCCACTCGGTATCTGCTTTGGCAAACATCGCTCGCCGTGGTAACCTACCTGGTGACATGTGTAACACATGTCCCAGCCAACGTAATCTATGGAGGTCGACCTCTTGCTCCAGTGGGCGACCGTATTTACCCAAAACTCTGCCCCTAATCTCAGCATTGCTCATCCGGCTACCCCACCAGATTCGTGCAATGTTGCGTTCAAACACCGACAGTCTGTCTTTATCTTGTTTTCTTAATGGCCAAGTTTCTGCACCGTATTGCAGAACTGGCTGAACTGTCGCGGCATACACTCGACCTTTCACAGACAGCCGGATGTCGCAACGGCGCCACAGATGTCTCAAGTTAGCAAATGCCAACCGAGCCTTCTGTATGCGAGCTGACACTTCATCCGTGATGCCTCCACCGGATGAGATATAGCTGCCCAAATAACAAAACTTATTCACTTGCTCTATCACTTCTCCAGTAAGAGTGAGGTTGGGTGCTGGACCAACCCAGTCTTTTAGCAACAGTTTACACTTTGAAGGTGCAAAACGCATACCAAATATGGCTACACTGGCATTCAAGTTATTCAGAAATGCTTGCAACTTACCTGGATCTTCACTTAGTAGCACAATGTCGTCTGCGTACTGCAGATCAGACAGCCTGCCACCTGGAAGTAAATCGATGCCACTATCCTCGCACGAGGATAGGGCTGTTTCCAAAATAAAATCTATAACAAAGTTAAATTGAAAAGGAGAAAGAGGGCAACCCTGACGAACACCACTTTCCGTGATGAACTCGGGCGAAAAAGTGCCGTAAGCCCGGACTCAACTTCGACTGTTAGTATAAAGCGATCGTAATATTGAAATTAACTTCTCAGGCACACCTTTCAGCAAAGGCGCGCCAGAGTTTAGAGCGGTCGACTGAGTCGAAAGCCGCTTTCAGATCTAGGAAGACAGAAATGGGGGGTCTACGAAACGAATGCCGGTGCTCCAAAATTTGGCGCAGAGTGAAGATGTGGTCCATACAATTTCGACCGGGTCTAAAACCAGCCTGGTTCTCACGCGTGCACCGTTCACGTGCGGCAGACAATCGGCAGAGTGCTAAAACCAGCCTGGTTCTCACGCGTGCACCGTTCGCGTGTGGCAGACAATCGGCGGAGTATGATGCCAGCGAGTAGTTTAGAGACGATGTTGATTAAACTAATTCGATTATGACTTTTGCGAGGGGATCTATTGCCTTTCTTGTAAATCGGTATGATCACCGACTCACACCATTCAGCTGGAACCTCCTCTCT